TCCGGAGCCGCGAGGCCGCACCTCCACCATATCCATGAGGTTGCAGAAGCAGGCGGCCTCGTCGATGGTCAGGTGGCCGTCGCGGTGCAGCACGCGGTAGTGGATGACGTCGCGGCCGAAGCTCACGCACAGCACGTAGTCGCCGGGGTGCCGCACGGACTCGCGCACCAGGAACAGCCCGTCCTCGGGCGGCTGCAGCTGCTGCACGGCCTCCTGGCCCGAGATCTTCCCGTGGAACCACCTGCGGCCGGCGGGAGGGCGCGCTGGGCCGGGCTGGCCGGGGCCCCCCGCCTCCCCCCGCCCCCGGGGCGTCCCCCCCACTCACGGCATGAGGCTGAGCTTGGGGTCCGCGGACAGGGCCTCGCGCTCCCGCAGCGCGCCGGCCGCCAGCAGCCCCTCCTGCCCGCTGGCGTGGTGCTTGGCCCGGTACCAGCTCTTGCTCTACCAGGGAGGGAGCCAGGGGTCGGTGTGTGTGTGGGGGGGGTCCTGACGGAGCCCCGTCCCCCAGCGCACCAGGCCCTCCGGCCACCGCTCACCTCGCAGGCCTCCAGGATGGTGACCACATCGCCCTTGCGGAAGGCCAGCTCTCCCGGCTTGGGGCGCGTGTGCTCACACTTGGTGATGCATTGGGTGCCCGGGGCCCAGCGCCTCTGGGGGGGGGCAGAGGGCCGCATGAGGGCCAAGCGGGGCGGGGGGCGAGGACAGGAGGGAGACAAGACTGGAAATTGAGTAAGAGACAGCCAGCCACCGAGCGACGGGGAGATGAGAGACAGACAGCAAATCGGATGGCGACAGAGACAGTAAACAACGGAGAGGAGGAGAGAGGGCAGGGCGCAGCCAACAGAGCAATATTAGTCACCAACCCAGGGGCCCAGGACCGAAGGTCAGAGAGAGAAGGCGAGAGAAAGTCAACACCAAGGGAGCGAGAAAGACTGGGCAGACACTGGCTGAAGGGGCCCCCGGTGGGAGTCTGGCCCCCCGGGGAGCTGAGGGCCTGCGGGTGTGGACTGAGTCTGGAAGGGCTGGGGACAGGCTGGGTGCTCACCGTCGGCATCCTGGCTGAGAGGGTGGGGGTGCCCGGCGCGGAGGAAACGAGGCCTCACCTGGGGAGGAGCAGAGACCAGCTGGAGAGCTCAGATTCCAGCCGGGCTGGGGCCCCAGCGCCCTCACTACCACTGTCAGCCCAGCCAGGTGGAGGCGACAGCCGGCGGGCATCCTCGGGGGTGGGGGTCCAGGCGCTGGCTCCCCAAGGCCCTGTGGGGAGGTGGTATGTACCGGGGGGAGCTCCTTAGCAAAGTCAAAGCCACGAACACCAGGAAGGACACCATGGAGCCTCGCCTCGCCATCGTCCCCAAAGGGAAACTGAGGCACAAGGTGGGCACAGAGCAAGTGGCCACGGGCTGGGGCGTGGGGGGGGGGCGGGAAGCGTCTGGCTCAGGCCCCAGCAGCCCGCATGGTGCGTGGGGAGCTTGGTGCCACCTAATCGAGCCTCCTTCTTCCTCTTTTCTGGTAAGTGGGCAGGGGCAGGGCAGGGAACAGAGGATGATGATTCAAGGTCATTCCCAAGAATCCGTGACCCTGCCGGGGAGCGAGGGGACGAGGGCCATGCAGCCCTGCTGGGCTCCTCTGGCTGCCAGCTGAGCCTCTCTGATCCGCCCCCCCCCACAACCCAGGAGGGACACACACAGTCACTCACTGCTGCTGGGGTGCCGGCATTTCCACCCCTGCCTCCCCCATGGACCCCACTGCAGGGGGCTGGTTGGGGGGGGTGAGTCGGCGTCTCCAGTATGCGCCCCCCAAAAGTCCCCACCCTCACGTGTACTCGCACGCATACTGATCCGTGTACACACGAGCACACACACAGGTGGACAGAGGTGCCCACAGCCGCGCGGGTGCGCAAGCAGAGGCACGTTCCCCTAGAGACACGTGTGCACCCCCGTCCACACGTGTGTACACACGCACAGATGCTCGGACATCCGGAAACCTGTGTACCTGTCCCCCCCAGCGCACACACAGACCCACACTGGAACACCTGGGCGCCAGACACAGGGCCACCCGCGCACGCAGAGCGACACGCAGGGCCGCGCACACGCATCTCGGCCACACGCGCACATCCTCCACGTGGACGCGCGGATACACACGCCCGGGGGCTCGCAGACGCGCACACCCGCAGCCAGAAAATACCCCCACCCCGCGCCTGGTCGCCTCTAGCCACCGCCCGCCCCGGCCGCGTACCCGCCGCGCGCCCCGGACGCGCACCCTCGCGCGCACACCGGCCCCTTCCGCGCACGCCCGGGGTCCCCCTGGAGCCCTCCTGGTCCCCCGCTGCCCCGCGGTCTCTCCCCCCATCCCCGCCGCC